ACATTTTATTTCCACTTTTTTCGAAGAAAGAGTCATTCGTTTTGGCAGTAGCTTATTTCATTTATATAGCTGCTTTATAGACAAGTAAATGCACTAAAAACTTCGTTACGTGGTACTAATTAATAAGCATGTATCAACTATGTTTCACATAAAATATCTATGCAACACAGGATGCGCTATCTGTAGATCAGCACGTGGTAAGGTTAATGGTATGCATGGGCTTAACTCACCAAGACGTTTAAACTCTACTTTAGAATTGCGTTTAAATAAAAGAATCAGAAGATCTAAATATAACTTGATTATGCACTAATATTCTGTGTGATTCGGTCACGATCTTTTGGTAAGCAGGACCGCCCTTTGGAGACGGAATACTACTACAGTAGCCATTCTCTATTGTATAAAACTAATAAAGACAAAAAACGATTATAAAAGAAACTAACTTTTGCGTCTTGAAAAAGAAATGAAACGGAACAATTTCGTTTATAATTTATTTCTTCCTTTTACTTACGCTTTAAAACGATAAATCAAGTAAAAATAGAAATCCTATTTAATATATAAACAAACTGGGATTACCGAAGTAACTAAAAAAGCTAAGATTTCCGTAATATTACTTCGTCTGATTCTGCAGTATGACGGAATCGCCCGAATTGTCACGATTGCAATCGGAACTACCTCGGCTATTATCATTAATCCGAAGAGTGACGGAATTGGCCGAAAAGTTGCAATTGGCACGATTACAGCGGAACCATAGATTGGTTTCCCGTTCAATCATACACTAACAAATGTAAGCAGGAAGCCAAAAAAAAAAAGGATTAAAGCACCACACTAAATACCGTATTCCGGTATATACCGGACAATGCGCTTGAATGATAAAATCTTGCCTTTTTTCCCAACGGAATGAACTTTAACAGGTCTTACTCATCTTTTCACACCGATTTATGTATGATAATGAATGAAAAATGTAAAAATCGGCAAAAAAAAAACGATATTTGTCTATTTTGTGATCATGATTTCTGCAAGCGTCTAGAGGTACTTGTCCAATCCTGTATTGAGTTAAATTCCTGTTGTGACACGTGACCGTGTTAAATGGACTATCTTCAGAATCTCCTTTTTATATTGGCTACTGCGTAAGTAACGAAGAAGATCATGGAAAAGAAAAACCTTGTATATCAACGCTTTTGTCAACATTCTCTCTTGAATCAAGGTGTCAGTAGTAATGGATTTATACAATAAATCAGTAGATCAGTATTAACTGTTTACTTGAAATTTTATTTCATTTATTTTTTTCATTTTACCATCTGGAGGTCAGTGGCTTTAATGTTCGGTATAAATATGTTCATAAAATCAGTAAAAAATATTGAGCTCTAAAAATCAACCAACCATGTGCAATACTATCATAAGAATTAGTTCTACGTTACAAATGGAAAACCTCATGCTAACGCTAGTATGGGTACCCAGTCATATCGGTCTTGTCGGGAATGAACACGCCGATAAATGCGCGAAAGGAGAAAGAATTGATGCCATCCTATCAGACGTAGCACTTAGTATAAAAGAAGCATACATTATAATTAGAAAAAAAGCGAAAGAAATAGATTATGGAACGAACACTGTGAAATAAATAATATAGAAATCAACAATATACCTCCAAAAAACTAATTTCATATCACCACAATCGAGAATAAGATGAAATATATACGCGCTTAAAAGTTAACCATTCAAAACTTAAGGGTCAATCATTTTCAGTCGATAAAAAATAACCAGCATGTAATGAACCAGAAACGTTTGAACACGTGTTTTTCAATTACGCGTGTCATTCCGTGCAACGGAAAGAATTGGAATCATGCATACTAAAACTATGAAAAGTATCAATAAATAAAAAAATGCTCTTGGATCCGCCGTTTAAAATAGTTTTTTAAGTTCGCACTGCGATATTTAAATTCATAAAAGGTATACAATTTACAAATACAATTTAATTTACTATGGATATAATTACATATTAAGGTCGCCACTATATAAAATAGGATTGAAATACCAAGGAAGTGTCTATGAGTGTGGAACTAAGCAAGACTTTAGTATGCAACTGCCCCACAAGTATAGACATATCTTTGGACACGCATGCTATGTTGGCACATCAGTGGTTTAGCTAATGCTGCTTAGAACATATTAATTTGTGTTCTGGGGGTAGGGGCTAAATTGCCACAAAAAGTATTTATAAAGACAGACAGTGGTCCGATATATGGATATGATGTTAATCATTTATACAATTACAAATCTAATATGCAAAACATCAAAATTTACAAAAATACAATGGTTAAATAGACGAAATAGTTTGAACTTCGATGACATATTGTGTCCATCAGGCTGCAGTACAGCCCATACTCGTAATCAAACAAGAACACGCGCACACATCTCAATGAACCGACTAATTACATCAAATCAAACAAAAATACTTAACATATAAGAGCGAGTATGAATTACGATGACATATTATGTCCGTGAGGGTGCAGTACAGCCCAATCTTTAAAACAAAAAACATGCGCGCACATCTCAATCATTGTTAAATGAGACTAGTTTATACATCCTAATAAACTGTTGTTACTTTTATGATATAGTTTTTATGATACAACAGCGTGTCTGTATATTTTCAGTTATAGTAGCTAAATTTGTTCTTATTGTTATCAGAGTAGTACATAGTGAAATAGGTGGTGGGTACTTTGTATACTTCATAATAAACAATTTCAGTATACAAATCCATAGAATATCCCACTCTGTACTTAAAGCACATAAAAACAGCAAATAAAATTCAACAATTCATAATGCGAACGTAAGTTTAATTAGCACATGTAGTACATTATATTCACAATTGTGAACACTTATTTCTTAAAAGTTTTCGCTTTCTGCATATTAAGAAATAGTTTAAAATATTGGCTTAAAGCAGCAAGCATCAAGAGCCATTCTGTTTTTAATATAATAATGTTAAACATCCAAAAGAATGTAATTTACACATTTTCAATGACACTTACAACATATGTTAATTACTATAAAGAGGTCAAAATATGCAAAAATAGTCTTATCAGCGCTAGTAACGCAGTAGAAAAATAGGTATACATACTGAACAATTCGGTAATTAATCGAATTTAACATGTAAGTGTTTACTAGATGTTTAATATTCATACCTTTCCTATAGTCTTAGTACATTTTTCTTAGGTTTGATTTATCGAAATATTTTTGCTCATCCTGAGGCGAGCAGCTATAATACATTATACGTTGTTACATTTTGTTACTTTTATGACACCAATTATATTTCTGCATTAGGTGATGGGCACGTAATGTGATCTGAAGCGCATGTTTGAGTGTTATAAAGCTCATTTATATAAATGCTAAGGTGTTTTATGTTTAATGCCACCCTACATTTTCTTATAAATACTTGTATTTTTTATATAATCTTGCATGCTTGGGAGACTGTTAAACAATATTTTACCAGTAATTAGCTCAGAAACATATTCAATTTACTTAGAAAAATTTAAAGTGAAACAATGCACCAGGATGACTTACAGGCAGAGATAATAGTCATTTTGGTGTAAAGGCTGACGTTATATATATATTCGTTCAGTAGCTTGTTGTTTTACTATGTTATAGCATGATACTGTGTCAGTTTAGTTTAAGTATTTTCATTCATTTTACATGTAGTGAACGCGAGTAATTAAAAACACATGATAAAAGATAAAAATCAAACATGAAACAGTATAATAGACTATTAATGTTCTATCAAAAGAGATACAAAGACAGTATGCGAATGCAGGAAGTCAGATGTAGGTAATTAGATGAACGTCATTTATGATATATAGTGTATGTTTACATTTAATTTCATATGAGTTAAATTAAAAAGGTGCGGTATCTACAGGGGATCAAAAATAATCATCAAATATAAACAGTGATTATTAATGATAAGAAACACGACTGACAACCTGTTAAACCATCACAATATATGTTTTTGATAAGTAAACCCAATGTAAAAACGATATTTGTATATTAAGTAAAGGTAAATCATATTCTCTTTTGTTGATTTTGTTTTTTTCTAATGTCATAGACATTTACTGGTGATTTAAATTGCTTATACGTTTGTATAGTATCGGACATCAAAAAAACTTCGGAGAAATAAAATTACAATTTCTGTTTATTATTAAATGTAGAAACATCTTTACTTAAACACTTTCAATGTCTTTGATACAATATATTGATTGATTGTTACATAAGTTATTAAGATGTGATGTCTATTGTGTTATTTGTTATAATGTTTATATACCTGTTGCTTATTGTTATACCAATACTTCATAATATCTATCAAATATATTACAATGCGATTTAATTTTGTTTTCTAGACATAGTGGAACACTTTTTAGCTTTTATATTATGTTTGGTGTTAAAGTTTACTAATTCTCTTTAGAATTGACAACGCCTAAATGAATAATACTACAATTTGCTAATGTTGCAATATTCATTCGTTATTGAAATGAATTAATTGCTTTCAACATAAAGTAAAATGTTTTATTGTGTGATTTACATTTGCCTTTTACTGGCATTATAGTATCCAATGTCAATGGTTTATTCTTCTTCTTTTTTTTGACGTCATTCATTCATTTAACAGATAAAAGTATCAACAAGCTAAAAGAACTATTACGAGCTTGTACATTTTGCAAGGATCTAACATTTAAGCGTTTAAATAATAAAAAATGTTATTGATTGCGTCCTAGAATACATCGACACTACATTTTCCGTAGAATAGAAATAGTATTTTCAGTGCGGTGTCGACATCTCACATTGAGATATTCTTATTTTTTTTAGCCCTATAAAGATCGTACGTCCTTAATGATGACACTTTATTATATTTTATATTGTTTTCGAGATACAAAGTGCCTTTATAGATAATACTGTTTAAGCCCTATATGCTTGAACACGTTACAAGGGGAGTAATTCTTGATGGTTTATTTTTTTACGGTAGATGACGGTTGTACCGGAATTTAGCAGTCTACCTTTCCATTCGCCATCTTGTACAAGGGAAGGTCAAACTTTTGGACAGGGTGTATATTTTTGTAAAATAATCGTGTTTAAGTTTAAATATATCTTGAAATTTTGGTCATAATGGATGGATTAAACATTAGTAAATAAGCAGGAATATTTTTGATATTTATTTACATTGTTTTATATACGGATTGACGCGGATTTTGATGTAGTAAATTTTATCACATTGGATAGGAAGCAGCCATTATCGGAAAATATTTGCGTCGGTAGTTCTACAAATGTTAGATTTGGATGTTTGATTATATATGTACACTTAAATTGTCTGAAAATTTAATAGGTAATTGGAATTATAAGTGTTTGAGCTAGGTTGATTGGCAATTTTGATCACATTGTTTAAGCGGCCGTTATCGGAAAATGATTTCATCGGTAGTTCTACCAATGTTAGAAGGATGTAAGATTATTTATTTACATTTATTTGTTTGAAAATTTATTGATTGAGCTAGGCTATATGATTATAATATATCATTGGGTCGAACGCAGGCCTGCTCACTGAAGTAATGTGAAGTGGTGCGAGACCACTAAATTTATTTATGCAAAGATTAAAGTTTCTTTATCAATCTAATTAATTTTTAATTTTAAACAGTCTTTTACAGTTGAAGCATCCTTTATCTCTGGTTCATCATCCCTGGGTCTGACAGCTTGACAAAAGGTTTTTCTTAGGTCGAAGGTGGTATAGTATAGATCTATATTATTCTCAAGTATTCAAGATGTCAAATAAACAAGGTTCCTGGCGGTGCCAAGTAGCCCATCAGGGTTTTGATTCTCTGTTGTGGTTTTGCACTCTGTCTGTGGTGCCATTTTATTTTCTGCACAAGTTTTTTTCTGCAAATTCAATTTGCCTGGCAGTAGCTTACAAATTTTGTGAAAAAATGTTTTTTTGTCTGGTACAGGTTATAGAAGTATTGAAAATGCTACTGTTCAGTGTTGTATGTTTTTTTTAATGGCAATGTCATGCATATTTAGATAATATGTAACTTGGCATTTATTTTCATTTCACATTTATATTATGATACATGTCACTGTTGGGTGCAGAATACATGTCACTGTTGGGTGCAGAATGTATTGAATACCATACATATTTAGAGTTAATATGGTATTTCTTTCAATTTATTTCGTTTTTGAGTGCCTATATAAACAGTTGCCAGTTGGGCGTCTGTTGGTAATTAATTTGATGCAGGTGTTTGACCACTTGTATATTTAGGTACTTATTTCATTTCACATTTATTTTGTATTGATTGCCCATGTAAACAGTTGCCAATTGGGCGTCTGTTGGTAATCTATTTGATGCAGGTGTTTGACCACTTGTATTTCATTTACATTTATTTTGTATTGATTGCCCATGTAAACAGTTGCCAATTGGGCGTCTGTTGGTAATCTATTTGATGCAGGTGTTTGACCACTTGTATTTCATTTTACATTTATTTTGTATTGATTGCCCATGTAAACAGTTGCCAATTGGGCGTCTGTTGGTAATCTATTTGATGCAGGTGTTTGACCACTTGTATATTTTGATTATTATTTCATTTCACATTTTATTTTGTATTTGATTGCCCATGTAAACAGTTGCCAATTGGGCATCTGTTGGTAATCTATTTGATGCAGGTGCTTGACCACTTGTATACTTTTGAAATGTGGGGTAATTGTGATAGAGTTAATGTCTGATGAATTTTGTTCCCACATAAACAGTCGTTAACTTTGCGTCTGTTGGTAATCTTAATTTGCAGGTGTTGGCCTGCTTGTGTATGTGATTTGCTACAATGTATATATGTATAGTTCAGTTATTTGTTATTAGAACACTATAACCGTTACAGATGCCTAAAGCTAAAAAGAGGAAAGTGGCTTCAGGTGATGAAGCGTCAGTCCCTACATCAAGTACATGTAATGTCATCCAGTTGTCTGATCAGCAGTTGGACCAAGTGGCGGAAAAAGTTGCTGAAAAAATGCATGTCCCTCAGCAGATACAGCATGGGGCTGAACAAATTGATGACACTATGTCAGGTGAGCCTTCTTTAGAAGACAATCTAGGGGTTCATTTGAGTAATGGGACTAAAACAAAAATTATTAATGGAGAGTTTGTCGAGTTACATACACTTTTACCCTCTAATAAGGACTCAGATGACAAGCAAGTTGTTGTTATTGATGGCAATATTCTAGTAAAAGAGAAAGTGACTAAATCTTCCTTAGATATTCATGCTTGGACAGATGCCTTTTTGATTTATGCTTCCGTCTACAGTTCGGTACATTGCAATGAAAGCCAGGGTCTCTTAAAATACATGTACAATGTTCGTTTGGCAGCTTCACGAGTCATGGGTAAAGGTTGGCTAAGCTACGATGAACAGTTTAGGCACAAAAAGGCTCGTAACCCATCATTGCCATGGTTTAAAGTTGACCAGGAATTGTGGTTATTGTATGTTTACAATAGTCGTAGCTCCTCTCAAGTTAAAAGTTCTCCTAATCAGATTAAGAAGTGTTATGACTTTAATTTCAAAGGCTTTTGCAATAAAGCACCTTGCAATTATTTTCATTTATGTATACTCTGTAGCAAATCTCATCCAAGTAAATCTTGTAAATTGAAATTAAACAGACCAAATGTTTCTAGTAGCAGGTCAAGTCCTAATCAAGGAGCTAGAGCAAGTGGAAGTAACAGCTTCGTCCCTTGGTCTGGCAAAGTCGCCAATTAATCTTAAGGTTCTACAAGATTTTTTAGCAGAGTATCCAAACAAGACGGATGCTGAACTTTTAAGAAATGGTTTTATGTTTGGTTTTAAACTTATGTATGAGGGGCCCAGAGTTGAGTCCTCTTGTCACAATTTAAAGTCAGTAATTCAAAATCCAAATGAGGCAGTTAATAAGATTATGAAAGAAGTCAGAGCAGGGCGAATAGCGGGCCCTTTTAAAGAGAGGCCTTTAAAAAATCTAAGGTTATCACCAATTGGCCTTGTTCCAAAAAAGAACGGATCATGGCGTTTGATTCATCACTTATCTTTTCCAAAGGGTTCAAGTTTAAATGATTATATAGATGACACATTATGTTCAGTTAAGTACACCTCTCTTGATAAAGTCATTGATTCTCTCAGTTTACTAGGATGTAATACATTACTTGGAAAAATTGACATAGAGAATGCATTTAGGATTTTACCTATACATCCTAATGATTTTAGCTTACTAGGCTTTACTCTGAATGGTTTTTATTTTATCGATAAATGTTTACCTATGGGGTGTTCTTTGTCATGTGCTCTATTTGAAAAGTTTGCAAAATTCTTAGAATGGTTGGTAATGGCTAAGGCTCCAAATGGCATAGTCCACCATTATTTGGATGATTTTATTTTCATGGGAAAACCTGACACCAGTGACTGTATGAATCTCATGAATGCATTTTTAGGTATTTGTAAGGCTTTAGGAGTACCTTTAGCTGATGATAAGACAGTTTGGCCAAGTAAAGTTCTCGTGTTTTTGGGTTTTGAGCTAAATTCAATTCTGATGCAACTTCGAATACCGCCAGAGAAACTGGTAAAGCTTTCGGAGTTGCTAATCCTATTCCTTAAGAAAAAAAAGACAACATTACAGGAATTTCAATCCCTCATAGGTTTATTAGATTTCTGTGCAAGGGCAATACCTTGCTCTAGGGCATTTAACAGACGTTTCTATGATGCTACATGTGGCATTTTAAAGCCAAACCATCATTTAAGACTTACACACTCAATCAAAGAGGATTTAAAAATGTGGCTTTTCTTCATTGATTTTTTCAATGGGTCTTGCATTTTTCCAGAGTTAAATTGGTCCGATAATTCTGTGTTACAATTATATACAGACAGCTCAGGCACATTAAGTTTAGGTTGTGCCGCAATGTTTGGCAAGCATTGGGTGTTCATGCAATGGCCAAAAAAGTGGTGCAAGTCACCAATCATGGCTGATCTGTCATTTCTAGAATTTGTTCCCATAGAGAATAAATGAAATTGTTATTCTTTAAATCAATTGTCTATCTGTGTTTTGATGTTTGGATCTTTTGATTTGAAATATTACCATAGGATAAATAACAATTTCTTTGATTAAGACCCTGTTTTTTGATAACAAAACTACTGTGTTATATGACGATTATATATATCATTATACAAGTTTTAATACAATTCATTTATAGTATTTCAAGATCAAGCATTGCCATAAACATTTTACTATTGCTTTTATTAAAATTTTCTGGTCAAATCTGCCTCTTGTGAAAACCGTTGAACATTATTAAGCCAGCATAGCGACAATGGAACGTATGGATTCATTTTTCATTAATCATATCACAACAATGACGGACGAAGTTATTTGTAAAAGAAATAGAGCCACAGTAGAATAGTATCAGTAGGACAATACAACCTTTTTCTGGAAAATAACTTGTTTTACATAAAACAAAATAAATGCCTACAAATAAATGCATGCTTATTTTCATGAACATTTTGAAAAAAAAAAAAAAAGTAAAATATTGTGAAGTGATCAAAAAAGTTATTTACACGGTGAAAACGATAATTACAATCCACGTTTCGGTGTAATTAACGCAGCGAAATAACGTGACAAATACAGCTAAATACCCATTAATTGCAAAAAAGTCACTTAGTACTTTAATCTTTAATCGTTTTTATTTTTCTTCAAATCTTATGCTCATCTGGTGGAATGCAACTTTAAAGTCTATCAGATGCATAAAGCTTTTTTTATTTTGAATTATAAAATCGGTAATATTTATTGTAAGTCTTCCAATTATGAAGCGGTTAGTATAAACAATCTTTATCAATGATATACTTGTTTTAAGTATTAACTAAGTATTTTATGTATAAATGACACGCCTTGAAAAACATAACATTGCGGGACATTATTGTCAGCATAGCAACACTCAATGATCTCGGAAATGATATATCTTTATTTATATAATACTCTTATTGAGCAACAATATTTTATATAATTGATATAAGTAAAAAATGCAAAAGTAGGCAAGATGACAAGATGCGTTGAATTAAAAAAAAATAATATTCATTAACATTTCTGTTGTTTCGTGTTTTGTTTGTTTGTGTGTTCAAACTTTAAGCATGATGAGTATGTGACATCCAATAAAATGTAGGTAAACATCCAATCAAACACATAATTTAATCATATTTTCTTAATTTTATTCGTTTACGACATTCTCTTTTTAAAATGATCGTTGATATTCAAGAAACAAATCTCTTTTACACAGTAAATAATTCGTTACTTCTTGTTATTAAGAAATGCAAACTGTGTTTATACCTGATTCAGAATGTTATTTCGAATCGATTCAGTTCTAGACGCATTGAATTCAGTTTGATAAAATTAAAGGCCTACTGTTTTATGAGATGAAAACCGGATCTATGATAACTAACATACTTATGAGTAAAACATTGTACAATGACACTTTTAAAACAAGTGATTTATCGGATAAATCAATGAAATCGGTTAGTTATTGTTTTAAACGATTTTTAATGTTGAATTAAAGCTATATTTCTATGATGGACATGAAAACAATGTAAATAGTGTTTACTTTTTCAATAAATTTGTTTACTTCGTTTTTTTTGAACATTTATTCTGCACAAGGGCTACGGACGTCGAGATCGTCATCCTTTTCCGAGTTAAATTATGAGTCTATCGATGGTTGTGGTTCAAACATGTAACGCTGAACTACAAATGGATCATCATCAGCGATTTTTCTTGTTATGTGCATTCACAATATGTAAGTAAATTCCACATAATGTTACAAGAATCACTGCAAAATAGTGTTATAATAATAAGATGTATGTTACGTATGGATATATGTACTTCGCTTGTGGTTTTAGGTCGCATTTGCATAACAGATAGCAACTCATGCATGTGTGATTCTGAACTTTGTAAGGGTTATTGTACAGTTACGCGAACATTATGAAAAACAAAACTGTGTTCTACATTATCAAATATTAAATTTTGCACGTCGTTACGTTGACCAATGACCTTACTCGAGTTTTAATTTCTTGACACACAAAATGTATAATCAAGTTAAAGTAATGCCCGATTAAATTTACAGCAATGGAAACGTTAGAATAACAAACCAGGACATATTTGTTTAATTTTATTATAATAGCACACTTTTGTTTCATGTGCAAACAAGTTTAGATAATGATGTCGTATAAATACGGAAAATGTGACTGAAATGAAAATTATATATGCTTAGTATGATTACTCTCAAGAAATGAGTTTGTATATATAAGTATATATAGGAAATTAGGAACAAAATGCTATGACATCAGTGAGAAACAGATTTTACTAATAAAAGCTAGTCTCAAAGTATCTCTTGATAAATGTATTATGATAATGTGCATAAATCAACTAAGAAAGAGTATCACCTCTTTCACCAGCCTTTTGTTTGCAAATTGTTAATTATTTCATAGTTGAAGTTAATGTAACATTTAAATGTATCACACTTCCAAATAAATGGGCGTTAGATTTGATACGATTTATAATTAAGATACATATGAAGATATTATAAAGAGTGTTTTTCATTATAGCGTCAGCCGAGCGATAATCAGAAATATTGATTACTATATCTGACAAAATTTTGCAACAAACACAAAAAGTCAATTGACAGAATATGGTAACGCAATTAAAGATGACTTTAAATGTGTTTGAATTGCACACGATTATCCGCAAATAATTACCGTTGAATTGTTTTTATCTATATGCTTTTATTCAAGTGTTGATACTATTGGTAAAACGAAGCTTTGTGTTAGACAAATGCAACTTTTAAATGTTCCAACATATCATTTTGATGTTAAACATAACGTACAGTGTGTCGTTTTAGATTGTGACTTAGTTACGATTTATTCCAAAACAATCATATCACGATCGATATCTGATATTGATTGAAAATATTAACTCATATGTAGAGTGTTTTCTTTTCTTTTCATCGAATCGAATCCTTCGTATTCCAATATAACGACATGAAGACTAATATAATTTTTTTCTGAATATAACATAAATTAATGCTACACGTCGATAATTATATTTGTATTTAAAAGAAATCACACTCTGGCATTTTTAAAATGTATCAGTCGTGTAGTAAGTTTAACAAACTACATAACCATAACAATTTCCTGACCATTTGTCTAGTAAATTTTATCATTAAATATATTATAATTATACATAAAACCCTCTAAGAGACAACTTTTTGATTTGTTAATTGAAGTAAAACAAATATCAAAATTATACTTACAAACTCTCACTGAAAATATACAAAATAAAAAAAAATGATAAGAATAATGACCGAATTACATTTATGGTTTAATTCAAACACATCGATCATGACACTAGGGAAATATACTGAAAAAACAACGTATTAAATTTCAATTTGATACCGTCAATGTGGTAAAAAGTAAAAGTTATTAATTTAGCGAATGTATAAATATTGCATATGTAATTGAACACAATCTTTAGAAGATCTATACGTATAATAAACAACATACATGCATGTATATGCACTATAATCAACATACGGTTAATACTGTTAGAAAAGATGCTTTAGATGTTGATCGACAGAATTCTACTCATGGCTATCTTACTCAATATGACGGCTTAACTTTCTAAAGCATGTTTAAAGCAGAACAGCGTAGAATACATGCCTTCATATTACATAATTAATTCTGAACTATTTTACCTACTGTTTATTTTGCTTTATAGGCCACTAAAGTTATGAGCATATGTAGCTTGACATCAAACAAATTGCAACACAAACTTTCTTTAGTATTTTGCAATCAATATATATGCATGGACCTTGTAGTAAAACCCTAAAAGAATATACCTTCGGAAACTTGACTTTTGGCAAGTAGTTTACGAGTACCTGTCCAGGCATAAAAATCGTAATATATAATATCGTAATATGTTTAATATGTGGCGACTGTCTTGTCTTTCTCTGTTATAGATTGGTAGTTTTTTAGCCAGCAATGTATTAGTGTTCAAAAAATAGAATTTGCAATGAATAATAACAGGTTTGGCCTCTTTTTTATTATTTATTCACTTGTGACACACAAGATTATTACCCCACCCACTCATAATAATAATGCAAAACGTTCAAATTGCATTATCTTAAAAATACCTAATATTTACAATTGAAAAGAGGTTCAAGTAATATTTATATCACATAAGCTTATATAAATAATAGAGAAACATAATCACTTAAGCAAAATGTAACATACGTTACATCAATTACATTGACATTATTCTAGCATTTTTTAACTATTTTTGAATTATTTATAAAAATAAAGAAAACAAACATAGTTACAACAAACAATGCATCTGGTATTATACTCAATTTCTGAAAGTAACTCGTTATTTAGTCTTTTGCTGTGTCATTTAACATATTTGTACGTTACCAAAGTCTCATCCATCCAAATATTACCCATAAATGTAATGCAAACTATCACTTTTAACATGATTTAGTAGAAATAACTTCATCTATCATTGCCAGGATGATCCAACTATCTATATTGCACAACACTTAAGTTAGTGAAGAATAAATGCTGTTGAAAATGAGCTGAAGTGATGTCTTTAGTAATGGTTCAAAATTAGAATTTTATATGTTCAAATTGCCAAGTTTATGTCATGTATCATTTAAGTTGCTTCAAAAAATATTTCACCTTTGAAATTGAATGCCATCACATCTTGTTTAACATATTTATGTTTTCTTCCTTATTATATAAAGAGATATTTAAGTGATCTCCACATCTCTATATCTCTCATAATGCTCATTAGTTCGACTACACCTCGTCACATTAAAATTTTTTTTATCCTTTCAATAACTTTCAAAGTATTGCATAGTGGTTAAAAAGCTTTCTCCTGCTGTTTTCGATTGTCTTTTCACTAGATTTACAAGTCGTGTGTTTGCACTTTTCATAAAAAGAACGTCTTGAAATGACTGTTACTGTTACAACAATGGTGGTAA